TGAATAGGTCTTCCAAACTCGGTCCAAGAAGGTCAATAACCATGACATTATATTCAACCTCAACTCCAAACCATTTGAGGTTGGGAATCCCAGCTTCATGAAAGAAACATCACATCATCAGATTGATTTTCAAGAAAAATAAAATCAATGTTCAATATATAATAGGAATAATCGATTTCCACGTTTTTCATGGGTCTATATATAAATTTTTCCATTACTTCACCTGACCAAGGAATGGGGTAGGCTTTACTTTCTGATACCCATCTCCATTTTGATTTCTTATCTTCTTCTAGTTTGTGTCTTTATTTTAGATAGATGAGATGAAGAATTCTCCTCCAAATGAAAATTCATGTATAGTATCGGAGTAATTATTCATCCACAGTAAGGATACAGTGTCAACAATTAGATTCTACATTCTGAGAGTGCCCATTTGAATAAGGAGGGCAAAGATTCCGACAAAACCTTTCTCTCCAGTTAGTGGTCATAAGACTACAGAATGAATGTAATGGCATTTGAATCAATCACGTCTATAGAACAAAAGAGAAGCAGCAGCTGGATCCTAGCAAACCACCCTTTAGTATGCAGAACCTATCATTACCCAAACTGGACCTTCTAGGACAACAAAATCTGTATCTCATGTGGAATCCTATAGTATTGTTGCAGCACATACAACACACACAAACAGAGAGCGAGAGCTGAGAGAGAAAGGGAAAGAAGGACTTACTTCCTCCTTGAAGAAGCATATATATTTTTGACTCATAGTGTAGTTGAGGGTGCTTAGTCTTGACAGATTCCTGGTTATTGCAGTGACAAGAAGATTAAGCTTTAGATAAAATACTAAATCGCACAAAACAATTTGTAAACCTGAACTAAGTTTATAAACAATTCAAACAAGATGTGAGGAAAAAAAAAACGTAGTTCATGTCCAGTATTTTTCATCATAATGCAACAACAAAAAGATGATATAATGTTCACAAAGTATGATGATTGCACAAGACAGAAAGATATCTCATGCAGAATACAGAGGTCATTTCAATTCCAAAGTGCCGTTGCTACTTCTATGCACAGATCTACAAAGCATAGCAGGTTGCTGCTCCTCTTATTTCTATAATGGTGGTGAAACAAAGAACACAAAGGATTGGGGGAAGCAAGTAGTAACATATTTAAAGGGAACCAAATTCAAAGCATTAAGTTGCTAATGGGATTAGCGATGCAAATTCAATTGAGAAACCAAATTTCAGTACATTCAATGTAGAACTGAAAGCAAATGCATCTGTTGTAATGCCATAAAAAACATACATAGAGGCAATCATCTAAATCCTGCAACAAACTGTTGCACTGCATATAACATTGTCAATCTTTCCTCAAAGAGTTCAAAGAAAGATAGGACAATACCAGCTTAATGGCGACTTCTTCTCCACTGTGTATATTAACACCTGAATCAATCAAGCAACCACATTAAAAAAAAAATTCTCTTAAATCACATTCCTAAAAAGCATGCCAGCAAAAAGCAAGAAAAGGTATTAAGTAAATCAAGGACATACCTAAATAAAGCTCACCAAAAGACCCACTCCCAATTTTTCTCCCCAGCTTAAACTTCCCACCGACAACATGATCCATGATTCAATATTCCTCCTCAATCAACTTTCCACAAATAAACCAAAGTAATCAACTATTTGTGCTCAGATTTCCACCCAATTCAGCATCAATTGGGATTAAAAACCAAACTCACCAAGCAATCCAGCCCCAAAATTCCTCAAATTCAGCAAAACTAACAAGCCAACCGATTGCGAAAACATCGATCCACCTCAATTACACACCCAAACAAACCCAAAGGATAATTACAATCCCAAGAAAGAAAGGAAAAAAAGTGGGAATCAATAAAAGCCTAAAGAAGAAGAATCACGAACCACTTTCTTGGACTACATCATTCGATAATACAAACCCTAAATCTTCAATTACCGGGAACAAATCGAAACCCTAATTTCAAAAGCATTATGGAAACTTATTTATTGATCGATAACACAACCATGTAAGAACAAGCAAATGTATTCAACTTTTTCTATAGTGAGAAATTAATCAAATAATAAAGAAGATTTTGGGTTTGGAAGAGGGGACAAACAACCAAGGATTGAGGGATCAGAAAGACAAAGACGAAAAAACAAAATTGTGTTGCGGAAAGCCAGAGAGAGATAGAGAGAGAGAGAGAGAGTTTGTTTGAATCTGTGGGGATGGTGAAGGGAAACAGTTGGCGATAAATATTATTTGGGGTGTTTTTCGTTTTCTTTTTTTTTTTTTTGTGCTTTTTCAAAATGAGAATCACATTTTTTTCCTAATTATGAGAGAAATAATGGAATTTTATCCACTGAAATATTTAAAAATTTTATGTCACCCCAAATTTTTATGTCACTCCCTCAAAAAAAAATATTTTATTGTAATTAGGGGTGACCATTGTGTCGTATTGGATCGTGTTTTTATCGTGTCATTTCAAGTTCGTATTGAACACTAATCAACTCTAACTTAATTTATTTAACTAATTGTGTCGTGTCGTGTCGATCTATTTATTTTTATATCATGTTCGTGTTGACTCATATACTCCGTGAATAAAAAATTTAACTCTTAATTTTATGTCTAAAATTTTAGTATTACTTAATTGAACCCATGCTCATATATTTTTTATAAATTAAAAATTAACTTAATAAATGTAACAATAAAAATGAGTAAAAATATTTTTTTTGGTACATAAATTAGGACACTATTTGATAAAATATAATAAAAAAATTGACATTTTATTTTTACAATAAAATATAATTATTAGGACTTAATTTAAAAACTTAATACATAGGACCATTGAATTATTAGTGTTAATACATAGGACAATCCTATTAAGAGCTAACTTTTAGCCTTAATGTTCTGTTTGGTATGATAGAAAAATAGAAAGATAAAAAAATGGAAGGATAGAAAGTTGGAAGGATAAATAAAACATCATATTTGGTAAGGAAGAAAAATATGAAGGATGAAAAAGTGGATGAATTAACTTTCCTTCCAACTCACGAAAATTAATCCCTTCAAAATTGGACAAAAAGTGGATGAAAAATTAATTATTTGTGTTAAAATATATCTTATTTGTCTATATATTATATATATATATTAATTTCATATAAAAATACATGATAAAATATGTGTATATATATATATATATATTTAAATAAATTTTAAAAATAAAAATAAAATTTTCAAATTAAAAAATATTTTTTTTATCTTAAGGGTGAAAATTTTTGACTCAACATGAATTTTATGATATGAACTTAATTATAACTTGAAACGAATTGGAAAATGACCTGACACGAAAACAAAAAATATAAAAGTCTCGTAATTTTATGACTCAACACAAATCTGGCATGACACGATACGATTTGATTATTACCCCTAATCTTAGCCAGCATAAAAAAAAAAATTAGTCATTTTTATTTTCTATCCTCTAAAGATAAAAAATATATATCTCTTACTTTTCATCCTTCCTACCAAACCAAACATAAAAATTCAACTGAGTTGAACTTCACCCCTTAAAAAAATAAAATTCTAAACTTATTTATAAATTTTCAATCAATTTTATAATTTTCAATAATTTCCACTTAAATTTTATTATTTTTTCTCTCCTTTGTCTGCTGCCTACCGCGTTTGTGTTGTACGAAATGTCCCCCTATCTAATCCTATCCTAAACGAGCATGCCTCTCTCTCTCTATCTCTCTCTGTGAATATGTGGATTTAACTTTAAAATACTGGATTTTTGTCTTCCACTGATGGGATGAGTTGAATATAAAATGTAGAGTTGGAGTTGGTGGTCTAAATTTAGAAATAGACCCTCTCTAATTTCTAACTCTCAATCATTGCAAGTTTACTTGGGCAGTTGAGACACTTGATTTTTTTAATCAGAAATTTAATACTTGAAGAAGTGTTGCACATCCCATCGTAAAAATATCTATGTTTTATAAAATAATAAAAAATATTTAGAGTCGTATAACGCGGACATGTTAAATATAATAAGAATTCACTCAATCAACCTCTCCATTAAAGTTATAAAGTTTTCATTTTAAACTTGATCGAATTTCAAGTTCAACTTGAATCTTCTAACTCAATACTCTCTGTGTTTGCACTCGAATAGTATTAGTATTGAGTTGATATGACTTTTTTACCCCAAATCAATCTGAAAATTTTTGACAAAGTATTGAATTTTTCAATTTCAATAACTTCCTCAATAAAAACCAGTCCAGCAATTATTATTACAAGAATACTATTTGATCATATCATTATCAGATAATCATGTCACTAAATTATGTTATTTTTTGGGTTAATTATTTTTTACTCCCTTGTAATTTTCGCTAGAAACACCTTATCTATTTGATGTTTAAAATTATGTACTTCATCCCCTTATAATTATATGTACCAAAGAAAAGTCATTGACATAGTTAATGGAATTAAAAAATTATTATATACCCATGTTTTAAATTTATATATATTTTTTTCTGATTTACTCTTGACTATAAAATCAATAAAACATAACAATAAACCGATACATTTCAATCAAATATGTCGAGTCTCTTATCCCACAAGTGAGGTTGCAATCTAGGACGGAAAATCACTTGTGTTTTTTTTACATTTTTTTGATTTGAGACCGACGCCCTACTTATTTGAATATTATATCATATATTATAAAAAATATTTTAGACACTTGAATAAAATATTCTTTTAGAGGAAAGTAATAAAAACAAAACCTACAACATGTTTTGGGCGTCCGGAGCATACTCTCCGATAACTTAGATGATATAAAAATTATTTCACTTCGTTACATAAGTATAATGAGATAATGTGAATAATTTTAAACGTCAAGTAGGTAAAGTGTTTTTAGCCAAAACCACAGTGGGGTAAAAAATAATTAATTCTTAATTTTTTAATTACAAATAACATTACTCAAAATATATTACCTTGTTTGATCACTAAAATGACCTCAATACCCCCCTTAAGGGTTATTGTGTCAAAACCATCATATCCCTGGTCTACATTAAATCCATGTTTGAGTGTTTGAGACTACATACACAAGTTTAACCAAACCACTATAATAAAAACAAACAAAACCATGCACATTTAAAATAAATTATCTAGACCCATGTGCAGTCCAAGCAGAAGCAGTGTACAAGCTAGTGTCCTTCCACCCTAGTTTAAGTGTCCCATCTCCTTGAACAAGGCTATAACCATGAGCAGGAGGAAACATGTTGAGTATTAGCTGTGCTTGAGCCATGGAGTTTCCACTCATTGGAACTTGCATGAAGCAATTTCTTGCAAGCTCACTCCTCCAATGCCTAAACTTGTCCTCCCCACTCCGGGCCGGTCCGCCAATCGCTAATATGTTATTAATCTCCCTATAAAGAAGAGATTGCTCAACGCGATGTCGGTTTAAGTCATCACTCGGGAAAAGTGCCCCGAGAGAATCAAACATGGTGGAGTAGTAGTGGAGTGAACCAACGAATCGGTCTAGAAAAGACCCTCCATGTGAGATATCTTGCTCCACCAATGTTAAAACTCTAGGAGATAGTTCTTGGAGGAGTCTCATTGTCTTCCAATCTGGGCCAGTGGCATCATAGAGAGAGTGTTGAAGCCAATGCACTGCAAGTGCTTCACCTCTCCTGATCTGAAGCATTGAAATATCAACATCACCAAACTTTTTGGTAACTGGGTGGAACTCAAATGACATTCCTAACCTCTTTGCAAAACTTGAGAGTTGCTTTCCTGTTTCAATCAAAAGCTCCATTGAAGTACCCATTCCTGTCATTCTCACTTGTGGAGGACCCTCCATGCGAGTAGCTAGTATGTGAAAGAGAGCCGGCCATTGAAGCCCCTGCATGATATCAAGGTCTATAATATGAACCCTTTCGTGGCGGTGGAGAGCCTCAAGAATGGCTTGGTTAGAGGTGAAGTGAGCAAATTTGATGAAGGGTGAGATGTTGTTGAACACTTGGAAGGAAGTATGAACACTTTTGTGGTCGATCAACGGAGAGCAAATACCTAACCATGAGTTTATAACCCTACTGGCCATGCCCTTAGCAAAATAAGCCACAACTCTTTCAGCACAAGAAGGGCCATAAGGGGAAGCCATTTGGGTAAGCTCAAGTAACATTCTATGAGCTTCACCTAGATTATCAACTGATATAGCCACTGCACACTCCAAAAGAAGAGTTATTAGGCTTAAACCCTGCTCATCTAGCCTATTCATTCCTTTGATCTCTGTGAAATTAGTTTGGTGATGATCTTCAAGCTCATCACAATAGTTTCTTCTTTGAATTTTTCTGGGTCTCAACTCACTCAACAGGGCCGGGACTAAGTTGTCCTCATACACCATGGCTATGTCTGTCTGCAAGTTATCGGTGCCGGTTTCCGGCAAGTCTTCGATGAGCTGCTTTGTGACATGCTCCACCCACTCGGACAGTTCATTCCTCTCCAAGTTTGTGCACCTGTTCTCAATTATGGGTTTTGAGTATGGGTTTGAACTAGCCCCTGCAAATCCAACAGTTGGGTAGTCCCATTGTTCATGGGGTTGGATTATTTCAAGAGCCCCTTGAACCATTTCAAACCCTCCTTTCATCTTTGATGTCTCAAGACCAAGATGAATCTGTGTGTGTGTGAGAGAGAGAGAGGAGAAAGAGAGGAGAGAGGATAGAAGGGAGTGAGTAAGCTTGTGGTGAGAGGCTAAAAAGAGGAGTTGCAGGCCATATATGAAGGAGAAGTGGGCATGGGTGGCCAATGAAATAAAGGGAGAAATGGTCAGTGATAAGCAGATTTTAAAGTGACCTGATTATTCCAACAGCATGGCCGGCATAGTCAGACACATAGAAGAAGATAAATTGCCAAGTGCCAAAGTAATACACGTTGGATTAATAGTGATTTTCCCTATTAATTAAGTTTGGTTTTACGAAGGTTAGCAAGTCATGAAGGCCTTTGATTTTAATTTTATGATAAAATTTCAATCACATCCCTTCTAATTTATCATATTTTCAAACACACTCCTTCTATTATCAAAAACATCACCAACACCCCTTTTAGTTCACCCCCATTTATAACAAAAATAAATAATCTAAAATACCAAAATTGTCTCTATATAAATCTCAAACAATATTTTTACATAAAATTTAATTAAAATTCGAGCCAACTAAAATTCTTTTTCTACATATTAAAATTTGAATCAATTTGAGCTCTATTTGAGTTGTCAGCCCCAATTAAAATTTGCTCTGAATTGATGAAGATTTATATTTTTTTATTTATTAAAATTTGATTTAAGTTGACTAAAATTTATTTTTTATGTATTAAGTAGGAGTTAATTAAAATTTATATTTTTTTATGTATCCAAAATAGGGCTGATTAGAATTTAATGCAATGTCTATTTAGAGGGAGTGTAGATAAAAAAATTTTTTAAATATATCATGAGCAATTTAATAAAATTATATTCTAATTAACACAGGGGATGTCAATAAAGATTCAAAATATAAATGAGGTATCTTTGAAGATATGATAAACTAAAAAGGACACGATTAAAAATTTTCCTAATTTTATTGATTTTCTTGCTGTCGAGACTTGGCTTTTTTATTGAACAATTGGTCTCTCTCTCTCTCTTAGAAAAGATATATGTTTAAAAGTCTACTATTAGGTCATGAAGGTGACCATAGAATAAGTCATTCCTTCGTAATAATTACTCTTCAAAGAGAATTCCATAGAAAGTTCTTACATTTTACAAGTTATATTTTACTCGTTGTAGTTTTTTTTTTAAAATGATCAGGAGTATTCGGATTAGTTTATACACACCTTAACTAATTTTTTCACTAATTCAATTAAAGACAGATCATCCATGTCAAAATTAATGTATTCGCTAAAATGAAATATCTCATAACCTAACCCTAAAAATTTATCAAGATTTAAACTCAGAACATCTTAGTTTATAACTCGATTTTTATTCAATAGACTCTCTCTATAGAAATTCTCATTGAACAGTAATTATTACATCTTCCTAGTTGTAGTCCATCCTCTGGCTTCTAGACAGGAAATTTAACATCTCATTAAAAATGGACCTAAGAAAATGTAAATGAGGTGCCTGGTCTAAGAAGTGTGAATGGGTAGACGGCCCATGATTTTCTTTTTTTTTTTTAACGTCACAGGTATCCGGATCAAATTACGTACATTCTGACTAATTTTCTCCTGAATTTGGTCAAAAGCAGGTCATCCATGTCAAAACTAGAGTAAATCCTTCATAATCTAACATTAAGAAATTATCAAAATTCAAACTCAGGATAACTATATTTACAACTAGTCTCTATTATTAATTAAACTACCCTTAAGATTGTCTTGATTCCATCACCTAGACCATGCATGAAACCAGTCACATTTACATATGGATGTAGCATATCAAAGTCATAACTACAGTGAGGTGTTTGTCCTTTTGTTGTTGATTATACTTTTGACCGTCTTCTATGATAACTAATTTGGGTAAAAAAAATAGGTAAAATACTTGATTTAATATAAATTAAGAAATTAATAAACTTAATTTTATATTCAAATCGTTTGAAAAAAATTCCATAGTATCCCAAAATCTATTTTCTTCAATTTTTTCTCTCTCCGTTTTAGCTCTCTCATACACACACAATCACTGAGGTTGTACATCTCCTTTATGTGTTGAAGCAAGAACCTAGGAGAGGACTGAAAAGTTGAAAGGAGATGCTTGGTGAGAGGTAAGATACCTAGAAACTAGAGCAATGTTATACTTTTCAAAATGTATTCCAAATGAGTTTGACATATTCACACACCACACACGGCCCTAAATCAGTTTTTTCATAAAATGTGTTGTGTGAGTGTGTCAATTCATTTGGAATGAGGGTTTTTAAGATATAGAAAAGCATAGCATCACTTGATGATATTGAGTCTATTTTACTCGAATTTAAATTTGAGAGAACCGGAGATGATTAAGGGTAAACACCCACAATGCTATTTTAGCACGACTGTGTTTGTCCGAGTTTTGTGTTGCAACCCATAACTTCAATAGGCATGTGGTTGGAACGATTTTCTAATTACAAACAAGTCAATTGGAAGTTTAATCATTAGCATTTTTTACCTGAAGAGAGCGCTACGAACAGTTAAGGAAGTCACAAATAAAACCATTCAATAGCCAATATTATGTAAACTATGAGTGCCATGGTAAAATAGGCATTAAAACACAGACAAACACACACACAGATATATATATATATATACATGGTGATGGATAAACATATATCCCTCTTTAGTAACTCAGAAATCTCATAACCTGGAGTTTTATGCAGGCCAAAACAGTTCCTTTTACTATTATATTTCAATAAAATTAACTAAGTGGCTGTCAACGTCTTGAGGGTGGGTCATATTGTCTAGCAAAATGAAACCTAGACTGATTCCTTGTTTGAAAAACACACAAGTAGTGCCAGAAAGTCTCATTTGGTACACAGTGTCTGAGATGGCAATGCTTAATCTATTGGTTTTAGATCCTAATATTTTGTAGTATATTTTTTAATTTTGTTTTAGTATACTACCCAGCACAAATTCTGGTGGAACCCACTTAACAAATACTCAATAAATGATTGATTTATCATTGAGAAAAATTGAGAACGGATTGCAAACTTGTTTCTCATGCCGCAGTTTGTGAAGATAGAGTTCCACAGTAGTTACATCAGGATTCAAATGCTCTCGTCAATAGAAAGATTTTCTGAAATCATTAGTATTGACAACTTTAAATCTGGATCCCGATATAGAAATGTGTATGGGTGATCTATTATCGAACAAAGACATACTAGAAGGAATTTGGACCTGGTCATAAACCCTACTTGTTTTTTTTTTTTTTGTGCTACTGGGTGTTCAGACTTACGTCGATTCCTTTCTCGAACTTGGATATAGCCACCATAGCCCGAGCACATTTAAAACATGTTCTCCAAAGAATAAGAGTGGCTAGTCTTTAAAGGATATGAAAAATGTTGAACCTAAGATCTCTGAGTTACCTAATAGTGATACCAGACTCACTGAACCACCCTAAGGGTTATGAACCCACCTATATCCACTGCAATATGTATTTCTGGAGTTTCAAATCTCAGATGTTTTTGAGATAGTATTTTCCATGGAGTCTGGTCAAAGTTAAGGTCTTCCTGTCCATAATTTTGGTCTCTTGTGTTGTAGTTTTTCTACTGATTAAGGTATTTCAACCAACAGCAAAGATACAGTAAGCCTAACTTACATGTCAGCCAAGCAAAAACTATAGCTATAGGGCTTTGAAAATGTCAGGGGAGACATGGGCCACAGTTTTAAGGATTTTTTCTAGTCCAAACTAACATAATTCTTAAACTCAATTTTATATGAGGAATGCTACATAAATTTAAAAAAAAATGACTTGATAAATCACTACTATTGAATTGGTAGTAGGTTCTAATAAATACTGAGACACACAGTTAAATCAATGACAAATATAACAATCACATCATCAAATCAGGTTTTTAAGTCTGTGTAGCATGCTCTCATCTATTCCATTTTATATCTACCACCATTTTAAACTACTGATGTTTACCCATAATAACTCACTTCTAAACTCAAATATGCGAGTATAAACTCTACTGTCAGGGAAAGAATGATAATTTGGTAAATAGACAGACAGGGTTTTTCCTTTTTTTGGTGGAGAAGATGAAAATCGACATTTGCTTGGAATTTTTGTTTTTTTTTTTTGGGAAGGCAGAGGTTTCTTTGATTTATGTGTTGGGTTTTCTCTTGCCTGCTTCAACTTTCCACTCGAGAGGACAGCAGAAATGATAGGGTTTATATGCTTATAGCAATGACTAAATTCTATATGGGTTGAAGGCATCTGAAGTATAATTTTGTCGAAAATGTCCAAAACATTAGGGATATAGAAGCCCTTTATCTTAATAAGATATGTGCAACATTTAGCTGTCAGTGATACTATAGGTCCTCAAATGTTGAAGAAAGTAAGACTTGGTAAATGATAATGACACTACATTGCCTTCCTATCATGACAAATGGCACTTCATAGTAATTTATTACCCACCTTAATAAGCCATGAAAGCGATGCCCAAACAGTATATCATGGTAATGTGCCCGGAATGGAACGATCACAAGTATTAATCCGTATAAAAGAACAACCTTAAATAAGACAGGAAATAGATGCCCAAACAATGCCATGGTACTGTGCCCGGAATAGAATGATCACAAGTGTTCATTTGTATGAAGAAGTAGTCAGAGGTTTGAGTTTAAATATCAGTCTAATTAAGGTGAAGGTGAGACAACATACCACATACGGCTCTCAGATCCTGCTGTAGCCAGAGAGTTTTCACACAACGAATATGACATTTTTGGAGCTGGGCTTGGTATGGCTGTCAGTTCCACTCGACAAACTCACTCAGGAACTTACACTAATCTTCCATAGCTTTGTCCACTCCACCCTTCTCATCCTGAAAATCGCAGGTCAGCACTTAGATGAACAGAAATATAATGGTTTTAGCTATGGGTGGTAAACAAGCCGAACGAACAAGTTCAAGCCTGAGCTTGACCAGTTTGTTTTTCAAAAGGAACTTAAAAATTGTTCAACTTCGGTTCGTTTTCTATATGAACGAGTTCGAGC